AGTAGCTTTATTAGTAAATTTGTTAATCCCGTCTCGGCGGAGGAGGAGGAGATTGCAAATTTTAAGGTAGTATCTTTATAGTTTGTGTCTTATCATTAAATGAGAATCTGAATTGAAGGCCAATGAGATGGGAGAGAGGTGGCCAGTTAGTAGACGGCGGCAAAAGTGCTAATTAAAAAATTATTTGCACAATTATTTAGTTGTCGGGTAACCCCTGTGTGATAAAGATAACAACTTTAAAAAAATGAATAAGATCAGATTTATTCTTTATTTATTTAAATCTGATTTTATTTTATGTTTATGTCATCACATAGTTCCATTTCATTTTATTCCTTAAAATGGCATATCGAATAAAAATCAAACAATCGAATTATTCTTCTTTTCCGATTAATTAAAGAGGACACAGAAAATAAAATCAGAGTGAACATCAGAAATGACATTTTTTTAGCCAGTAACAGAATAGATAGCATTACATTCTGCATTTGATGCTGTTGTGTGGTCATGTCATGTCACTTTCTACATGCCGGCAGAGCCGTCCTTAGGGTGGAGCGAGTGGAGCGGCCGCTCCAGGCCTCGCGCTGAAAAAAAATATAAGGTTTTATTTAATGAAAATAAAAATAATATAATAATATTTTAATATATAAATATACCGGGTGCCCATTATGTATGGAATATAGTATATATTTCGGTAAAGATCGAATGTATACAACAATTTTTTATATGAAAGTTGTTACATTTTATTTCCCATAATAAGGCAGCATTCCATTGCTTTTATTCCAGAAAACAAATGAATAATGAAAATAATTGAATTTTTTTAAATAGCAACGCACATTTTCATTAGACTCATTTGATAGATTTTTTTTCTCTTTTCAATGACATAACACGTTAGCACCCGTGTAGAAGAAATTAATTTTTATTTCAAGTTTTTAGCGCATTTTTGAAAAAATACGTTCTGGCTGGCTGGCTGTCCGGCTGAGTTCTTAGCAACTACAATAGCTAGAGACTCAAATTATTACTAAAAGCTTTCTGCTATAGTGTAGATGTGCAGGCTCTAGTCTATTTTGAGTTAGTTTACTTGTGAGATCGATAATTTAAGAAAATAATTTCGATATGGTTTTTGGAGGTGCTATAATTTTACCGTTAGATAGCGCTACCAGTATAAAAACTTAATTATTTACTTTGTGATTTGTTTTACAAAATTAAGATGTACCCTCAATTGAAATTAAATAAAATGAATTATTTAACGCAGCCAAAATTACTCGTGAGATCGATAATTTTAAACTTCGCTAATAAAATACTGATCCGTATTACCAAAAATGCGCTTTAATCATGCATATGCTGATTTACAACTTGTTTGGGATAGGTTATGCCACTACCTTGCAGTGAATGATGAACATTTTGAACATTCATTGCGATGAAAACCATTTTACTGCTAATTTCGTTTTGTCTTCAAGGTTTAATAAGAAACGTACACGTTCATTTGTTTTATTTTTATGTAGGATATCTGGATTAATGTTATTCATCTAATTATGATACATTTTTTTGACTAAGGGTGCTAACATGTTACATCATCGAAAAGGGAAAAACATCTATCAAATGATCCTAATGAAAAGGTGCATTGCCATTTAAAAAATTCAATTGTTTTTCGTTACTTACTCATTTGTTTTCTGAAATAAAAACAACTGAATGCTGGCATTTATGGGAATAATTTCATATATATTCGATATTTCCCGAGATATATACTACATTCCATACATAATGCGCACCCTGTATAATATAGTATATAAAATATCTGTCTGATTAGCCGCACAATATGTTCAACTATTGATTAATTAAAAAACCTACGAACGAAATTCTCATTCGCACGTGATAGTCATTAGTCGCCAACAAACCCTCGCGCTCGCCGGTGAGTGAATCATTCTTGCATGATCTCCTCTCCCTTCGCCGCGTGACAGTCATTCAAAGTGCTTAAAATGACGATTTTGCATGTATAATTTTGCAAAAATTTCCGGAGTCGGACTCACTCCCCTCGGAGGTATTCCATAACCCCCCCCCCCCCCTCGGAAATCATTGTTAAAAAAGGCCCCGCAAAAATATTTCGCTCCAGGCCTCGCATTTACTAAGGACGGCTCTGCACTAATGTAACAAAATTGTCAGTAATAATCGACTCTTGAACATAATTTTTAATATCTATTTCTTCTTATGCGTTGAAAGTACTTCATTTGTATATAGTAACTAATAAAGAAGTATTATTATTCTTATTATCTAGAAATTCTGAGTGATGTATTGCAAGTTATCATTAGAAAAACAATTCCTGAATTCGGGTTGTTCTTTGGTGCATTTTTGGGGCCGAGTACTTTAATTTCCGAGGCAGGTAATGTCAAACAGTGTATCAACTTTTCTTTATTATGTTGCCAACGGTAGCTTGGTAGGTGGGTTGGGTTCTAAAGAAGATGGCAGGACGAGTTGGCTTTATTTTTTACAACTTTACAAACTAAAAGATTTACATTAGGGTAACTACTGACTTGTGAGCGAACATACCTAAACCAGGCGCTGGCTGGTAATAATTAAAAATTATTTTCACCACAACCTCAAGGTTTTAGCGTAAAACGTTGCTTAATGTGACTACGTTAAAAGATCAACTATCCAATTCCCATTCCAGCGCCTGCTTCAACTACGGCAAACCAGTTCGTACATCCGGGCAATACCCGCGTATTTTAAACTTTACCTTTTGCATTAATTTAAATTAAGGTTCTGCTACAACTCGCACCCCAGGTTAAAAGTACGGTATTGCCTCTGTCACTCTGTCCTAACAAAATATTTTTTTAAATGGGAAATATGAAAAATTCCCCGTTCACAATCATTTTCGGGGTTAACCAATACATAAGTGAACACGCCTAACGCCTTTTTTATACGGTACGGGCCTTCAAACAATAACAGGAACTTTTTAGTCTCTGCTTTTATGGCAGATGAAGTAGGACTACTTCTTAGTAACACAAGTTCCCCTGGCTCATATTTAGGAAAAGGACGCTTGGTGATACGAGCACTCCTTCGCGCAGCAGCACCCTCCAAAGTTTCTTGGGCCATTATTAGTTTAAGCTCGGGAGAAAACGTATCGCTCTGTGGTGGTTGCAAATTGGTGGGCAGGAGCTTGATAGCCTCACTACTCATTTGTAACTCTTGGGGACTAAAACCGGTGGACTCGTGGACAAGGGCGTTAAGGAAACCCGCAAAATTTGATAATTCATACGCCCAACGGGTATGGTGGTCGTGGCAGTAGGTACGGCATAACCTTCCTAATTCGCGCATCACCCTCTCGGCAGGGTTGCTCTGCGGATGACGAATTGATGAATGTACTACTTTAACCCCGAACCCACTTAGACATTCAGCCCAACGTTTCGCAGTAAATTGCGTCCCGTGATCCGTGAGTATTTTTTGTGGAAAACCCTGCTTTACAAATAGGTCATTGGTTAAACGATGTAAAATAGCCCGCGTAGTGGCTTTCTTTAACGCATAAAACGTCACGTATTTAGTAAACACATCAATTATTACGCATATAAACGTAACGCCTCCCCTACTTGGCGGCAGCGGACCAAAAAGATCCAACGCCAAAAGTTCGTTCTTCTCTTTAGCAATAATAGCCTGTGGGGGTGGTGATGGCATGGAACTGATCTTGGTTTTTTGGCACACTTCGCAATTGCGAAGCCATTGCTTGACATCTTTAAGCATGTTCGACCACCAGACTTCCCCTTGAAGTGCTTTCCAGGTTTTGTACGCCCCGAAATGCCCTAAGGTGCAATGATATGCTTCAATAAACAACGATCGCAATTCTTTTGGTATGCACAGTTTACAACTGTCAGATTCGGGACGGATATACAAAATTTCGTTTAACAAAGTAAATCGTTTGTTAAATTCTGAATTATTCGACAGACTCTGAATAATACTGGATAATTTAGGATCTTGCCTTTGTCTTATGGCTATATCCTTCAATTGGTTACGTACTAACAGTTATCGGTAGTTTGAATAGGGGAAAAATTCCAAACACTTTGTCTGTTGGTGTCGGTGGGCGATTGACAGCAAACCGGGACAAAGCATCCGCGATCATGTTTTCAGTACCCGAAATGTGTTTCAGCTCGAAATCATATTCTTGTAACGCCATCGCGTAACGGGCGATCCGTGCTGATAACAAGCGACATGTCTTCAAATAGGTTACGGAACTATTATCTGTATAAATTACAAACGGACGCCCTAATAGGTAAATCCTAAATTTATTTAAGGCCCAAACAATAGCTAACGCTTCTTTTTCGTTGGAACTATACCGCCTTTCCCTATCCAACAACATACGGCTTGCCCATGCTACCGCTTTTCTTTCCCCATCCACGACTTGAAACAGTTGCGCTCCTAACCCTACGTCACTAGCGTCAGTGGTGAGGTAATATGGTAGATCTTCACGTGGATGATAAAGCAGGGTGCTCTTAACTAACCTTCCCTTGATCTCCTCGAACGCGTTCTTTTCGATTTCGCCCCATTTCCACGTACACTTTTTCCGTAATAAGTAATTCAATGGCGCAACTATATCTGCGTAGTTAGCACAAAATGCCCTATCAAAATTTGCCAATCCCAAAAATTTTTGTAGTTGCTTTACATTTTGTGGCGCCTCGTAATCCCGAATTGCTTGAGTTCGAGCGGGGTCTGGACGAATACCCGACGCGTCTAATATATAACCCAGAAAAGGCATATTTTCGCGAAAAAACGCACATTTCCTTATTCTTAAAGTAAAACCCGATTTTTGTAAGCGGGATAGCACGCATTCAATGTGCTGCAAATGCTGCTCAAAGGTCTCCGACAGTATAAGAATATCATCAATGTAAATTCGTACAAAATCATTAAACTCCGTACCAAAAATGTTTGACAAGCACCGTGTAAATGAACTAACGCTTGATGATAGCCCGAATGGCAAGACACAAAAACAATAAGTATGTCCGTTAAACTTAAATCCAGTATACTTTTGTGACTCCAAAGTTAATGGAATTTGCCAATAACCGTGTGTGAAATCGATAGAAGACATGTAACGAACTTTAGGTAAAGAATGTAACAGCTCCTCTATCGGTGGAGGAGTTTCGTGCTCTCTTTCCATGACCGAATTTAAATGACGCGCATCCAAACAAATACGGACTGTTTTGTCCTTTTTTACCGTGACCATGATAGGTGAGATATATGGGGTGGCAACCCGAGTGATAACTCCCCATTCTTCCATCTGGTCTAATTGCTTTTGTACTGCAGCACGATGTACAATTGGGACAGGATATGGTTTTCTATAAAACTCGGAGGAATCATTTAATTTAATTTTATGCGAATATTCCTGAGTACGTCCAGGATACTCCGAAAAAATGGATTTATAGTTAATTAACACTTTATGCAAATGAGCTCGCTGGTTTTCGGTAAGAGAGGCCAGCCGGCATGATTCCGCTATTTGTTCCTCAATACTACACAATTCCGGTTGCAAATTCATAATGGTATCGACACCGTACCTACTAACACAGCAGATATGTTGGGCGGGTAATGACGTGCAATGGTTTTAATTAATAAGGCTTCGGGATAAGGGGGTTCCAAATAATGAGCCAGTGCTAAATAGTACATAAAATGATCCACCAAACCCTTATTTTTCTCTGGGTATCGTGCTGCTTGAAGAGCTAACTTGACTTCTAATTGCTTAGTTTCAGACCAAAAATGCTCCTTAAAAGCTTGTTTGAAGGTCGTAAAGTCTCTAAATGAATCCAAATAAGCGCGACTCCAGAGCAATGCCTGTCCTTTAAACTGGTTATGCAAAACAAATTTAAGACCCTCAAAACTAATATTTTGCGAGTTGTATAAATATTCAGTTTTTGCTAAAAATTCCATAGGGTTTAAACTGTCTGAACCATCAAATATAGGCATTTTTTTTAAAAACTCTGCATTTGCCGTAGTGGTGACATGCCTGACTTGTTCATTACTATTGTTACTAATTACATTCATATTAATTAAAGACGACACAATTTGGGTAACTAAATCTACTACATTGTTCTGATTATTTACATTCATTCGGTTTGCATCGACATTGATATGCTTTGCGTTATCCACGGAATGTGGCTGAACTGACCTTTCGTTTGTTGCAATACGATTAACGTTATCTAATTTGGGAAAATTCAACATGGTACCTTCTTTGAACATCGCTGGCAGGTGTGATGGCTGATAATGGAACGTTGGTGGATTACTGTTCGATTCCATACTTATTCGCCCAGGGAAAAAATTATCGACATCCTCAGTTACCGCCTTTTCTCGCAACCTTGACCGCCGTGAGAAATTATTTTGATGCGACGACGTTGGGGTTCTAAAAAACTCTTCTGGCATCTTATCCTTATCTCCACGCCTATGCATGAATTGGCTGGGTTCCGTTGCCCTGTGACCCCTAGGTGCTGAGGGAATTTCGTTTCTCCTACCTGTATCTAAAGGAGTAGCTGCACGAGCAGCAGCTTGTGTTTGGACCAGATTTTTTGGAATCGCTCCGCGACTGCTATCTTGTCCTTTTGCCGATGTTTCTGGTACTACTTGACCTCTACTACGCAATGCATAGCCTTCCGTTGTTTCTTCTCGATCCTGCCCTAGCATCGGGCCCCACGTTGGGCGCCAAAGTTGCACCGGTAGCTTGGTAGGTGGGTTGGGCTTTAAAGAAGATGGCAGGACGAGTTGACTTTATTTTTTATAACTTTACAAACTAAAAGATTTACATTAGGGTAACTACTGACTTGTGAGCGAACATACCTAAACCAGGCGCTGGCTGGTAATAATTAAAAATTATTTTCACCACAACCTCAAGGTTTTAGCGTAAAACGTTGCTTAATATGACTACGTTAAAAGATCAACTATCCAATTTCCCATTCAGCGCCTGCTTCAACTACGGCAAACCAGTTCGTACATCCGGGCAATACCGCGTATTTTAAACTTTACTTTTGCATTAATTTTAAATTAAATGTAAATATTTGAAAGACAATACTGATCAGCAGATCTTTTGATTGGTATCCAAAAAGCACCATTGCATTGGATAATTTTTGAAAAAACCGCCACCTATGATAGTTTTATGGTCATCTAGATATTGAAACAAGTGAAGGTGCCTCCTAGTCCTTTTTCCATATTCCAGCATTATTAAAATTTCAGTATGCCGCCTTTCGAATAAAAGACCCATTTCCGTTGACTTCAAAAGTGTATTTTCACTCACAAATGGATGTCAACTAATGTAAATTAGTAACTTTTGATAAGTTCACGTAGTACCTTGACAGTTCTAACGCGCGATCAATTGTTTCAATATCTAGATGAATATAAAACGGTCATGGGTGAGTAGATTAATGGGCATTGTTGAAATACAACTACACGCAGTTTTTTGCGATTTTAAAAATAAACAAATCCATTGATAAAAAATTAAATACAAAATAACTTATTTGAAACATTGTTTCACAAAATGGATATTTACAGATATACAGGGTGTTACATATAATATAAGTAGGTATGTAAAAAAAATTAGGTGGTAGGGGGATCAATACAAGCACTTTTTCCAAATAAAACGAAAGTCCAACATGTTTTGTTTGGGAACCACCCTCAAAAAAGTAGTGAAATTTGCTTTTCTTGAGGGGTATTTGTTCAGGTATTTCACTGAGTAAACTTTTAGTCAAGAATCTGGGTATCAAAAAGACGCTTCTAAAATAGTGTCACCTGCACTCAAAGATATACTTTTTGTAAAATACGTATCTTGTGCAAAATTAGATGCCGATTTGGTATCAAGAGGGCGCAATGATTGCAGTGATTGCAAATAGCCAGAAAAAAAATTTGTTCAAAATTTCGCACTTCTCAAAAATTAGAATTTTGACATTTACCTCGCATTCCCGAAGTTATTTATGAATATTTTTTAAGAATTTGTGCACCATTCGTACGCTCATGATATTTTTGCTTGTTTTCGATGTTTTTCGGGGATATTTTGAAAACTTTCACTTCTTGTGTAGTAGTCTAGTAGGGGGGTATTTTTATATTTTCCATAACCTGCTTAGATTTTAAGATACAGCACCAATGTTTGTTTTTCAAATAGAATGTATAATATTTTTTTGGACCAGTGAATTCCTTATTTTTTGCTAATCATACGGAAGTTATAAGGGAAAATGTTGTACTTGCAAAATTTCTCTAAAAAAAAACTGTCCATTTTAGAATAATTTTGAGAGCATTTTTTGTCCGTTTTTTTATGCTCTTTCCATTGATGCATAGTAAATATATGGTTTCGAGTTTTTGACCAAAAACGATTGTCAACTTTAATCGATTATTTGTATTATTTTCGAATCGGACCAATAACGTTTAATAGAGTAGATTTTTAGCTGTCCTTTGTGAACAAAACATTTTGCTAACTTGTCAGACAACAGTGATATGGCTAATTTACTGAACCTCTGAAACTGTGAAAAAATGTCAAATAACTTCGAAACCCTATCAGTTAGACATAGCATCATATTAACAAAATCATACTGATTTTTTATGACAAATTCAAAAATACCATCAGAAAACATGGTGCCATTTAAATAAGAAAGTTCCGATATCGTTCTGTTACAACCGAAAAAGCGGCCATCTTGAAAATATTTTGAAATAGTTCCTTTTGATCGATTATTCAAAAAAGGTAATGAGTCTCGAATCAAAATTCCAAACCGTTCCTGAGTCACTTCTAATGATCCACTTAAAAACACCACCCTGTATGTATTTGAAATTTCTCTTAAGACACACTGAAAGATATTTAATATCTCGCCATCTGACCTTACCAATCCTTATCAAAAACATTCAAAAAAGTATACACACATTGGGGTCTTACATCTTTACGTTGGTTTTCTGTATCAAACTAGCTAATCGCACATTGTTTTTTTATTGGTTTACCGTACGACGATCTTTGTTGCATAAAGGGTTGAAACTTCTCTTGGTTAGCACAATTTTAAAATTCTGAACTAAAACTGTCTAAAGTAAAATTAATCACCCTTTGCCGAAGGCTAGCCAAAATTTTACCTAATTTTTGGTGGATAAAATCAGCAAGAAAATGAACCCTTGAATTTGTCAAATTGTATTGTTGTGGAATAAAAGAATTCCTTAAATCAGAATTTAATTCTAAATCCAAGTCAAATTTAATAGGCTCTTAAATTTTTAGAAATTTCCAACTAGAATTTTTAAGAATTATACAGGACAATTTTACATTTCCCGAACTGCTCTTGTTTGTTTGGTTTTGGTAAAAAAAAACAAATGTATCACGTGGGTAACTGCTGCTGTTTTTTAAGTAATTTGTTTGCAAACTAATTTTAGTCACTGGCTCTCAAAAATCTTTCCATTGTACTTCTATTTTTAATTTTTTAACATTTTTAATAGGTATTATTGGAAAGACAAAACACGTTTAGGCCAGTTTTTGGCGCGCTAATGAAAGCAACACTGCCAGAAAGACGACACGCTAGTCATTTACGCCGCCTTCTAGCCGAGAACAATATCGATTATGCCAAATTACAGAGTGCGTACGAGAGCAGCGCCAAGGATGGAATTGAAGGCATTCTCAAAAATGAGGTCGGTTCGCACATTTTGACCATTTCAATTTCTAACTTACTCGACTTTTAGGTGCCCAATGCTAAGGAAAAGGATCTTACGGAACTTTTAGAGATTTTAGATTGTTTCTTCGATCCGGAAAAGAAGGCCATACAGCCGAAACCACGATTTTTCGCCAACCAAAATCGCAATCCCAGAAGTAGAACCCAATCTAATAATAATAAGGAAAATGGCGAAGTGAACGGAAATAACAATAGTACGGAGGGTAGCGTCAACACTAGTAGTAGTGAAACTACTCCACGAACCGTCGAAAATGGTATAGTGGAACAGAGTCAGCCCTCAGAAACCGTTGTGCAATAATGAAGTCTGTGCCTTTGAAGATTTGTTACTAAAGATGTTCGCATTTACATTATGTTACCATTTAGAGTGATTATTTGTTTTTATTTTTTTTAACATGCTGCTGGACTTGTTGTTGAGTTTATCAATATTGTTTATGTAATGTTAATAATGTTACTAATTCTATTGAGATGCTTTGTTTATACCTATTTTAGTTTGTTATGGTTTAAAACAATTGTTCTAAGGGGAAGAGAGTGCTTTAATTTTATTTTGTGATAAATGGTGATTATTATAATTCTTTATTAATAAATTTTTGATTACATTTGTGAAATTATTATCTCATAACATTGTGACTTTTCTGCAAAAATTCAATTTATTTCGCACCATTCAATGTAGTACCGTTGAATAATAATCAGATTCTTTATTCAATGGTAGTACACTATTATTTTGTCCATAACTGTATTTATCAATGGACTAGAAACCAATTTCGAAAGAAAATTCAAAGGGCTGTAACTTTTGAACTAGTAGCCCAATCTTGGAACTGTTTGAAATTATGGATTCTACAGGCCATTTCCTTAAAGGGCAGTTGATAATGTGCAATTTCATGTAGGATTTGTAGAGCAAATGTACTTCAATGATCCAGTATCTGGAATTGTCTTGTGTACGCATTTGGTACATTTGCGCCATCTCTTTGGCAATCCCTATACTTTTCCAAGTTTAATTCTTGAAATAGTTGAACCAGTTCCAATGAGATGTCGCCACGTACGACACTACATTCACAAGAACATTTTAATTTATGCCCCGTCCAACTCAATTTTCCTTAAAGGGCAGTTGAACATGTGCAATTTCATGTAGGAGCAATTGTACTTCAATAATCGACTACACAATTATGGATTCTACAGGCCACATACTATAAGACAATTTTTTTTCTGTGTCGATCTGAGAAAATTTTTTTTCGGGGCTCAAAAAAAGGCAGTGTATTATAACCTTCCTTTTTTACCAAAAATCGACTGCACCAAAATTTCTCGGGAAAACACTTTCTCTTATTAATTTTGGTGCGTAGAATCCAAAACAATTCGTACTTTTTCGATCAGACTTCTCAATCAAAAGTTATAGACTAGAAACCAATTTCGAAAGAAAATTCAAAGGGCTGTTACTTTTGAACTAGTAGCCCAATCTTGGAACTGTTTGAAATTATGGATTCTACAGGCCACATTCTATAAGAAAAATTTTTTCCGTGTCGATCTGAGACAATTTTTTGTGAGGGCCTCAAAAAAAGGCAGTGTATACCTTCCTTTTTTACCAAAAATCGACTACACCAAAATTTCTCGGGAAAACACTTTTCTTATTAATTTTGGTGCGTAGAATCCAAAACAATTCGTACTTTTTCGATCAGTTCTCAATCAAAAAACGCCAGCTTTCAGATTAATATTAGACGTGACCTAAAATTTTTACTTAATCAAAATTTTGTTGCTCATATACCTCACGTTTTGAGGTAGCAAATGAGTTATGTCTACTATTTCTTATTAATTTTGGTGCGTAGAATCCAAAACAATTCGTACTTTTTCGATCAGTTCTCAATCAAAAAACGCCAGCTTTCAGATTAATATTAGACGTGACCTAAAATTTTTACTTAATCAAAATTTTGTTGCTCATAAACGTTTTATAGCTAAATAGTTATTCGTACATCTAGTTTTGAGGTGATACTTTTTTTCATGAATTTGCACTTTGCAGTTTGATTAATGAGGGCGAAGCCCGAGTTAATCAAGAAAATTCATGGAAAGAGACACTTTCAACACGTGTTGTACACGAAATTTTTTTGCATAGTGATCCATAATAACCCACAATGGGGTCATCCCGCCTTCATTTTTTATTTCTGATCCACAAAGTACATTAAAAATAAAAAGACCCGTGTGTCGTCAATTCTTATTTGCGAGTAAAATAAACCCAAAATAAATTATTGAAAAGCTGAGTTTTTAGTCCGAATTTGAAACGCTTCAGACTAAATACGTCATAAACCTACAACCAATCACGTAGAAGTGAGCTGGCAACCTTACGCGAGGGTCTGACGTTTGTCACATTTGACGTTTTGAGAGGGATGTTTAACTGCATCTAGCACGAAAGTGACAAGTGCCTGTGACAGATGACGCAAGTTATAAATGCCATTCTCCTGCAATATTGCCAAGTCGTTATGTCATCTGAATGGTTCTAGGAGCTGATTGGTTGGGCTTATTACGTCACAGAGCCCGCCACAATCATATCGTTTTGAATAAACCTTTAAAACCGCACATGTTCATTATTTTTTTGCTAATCAGCCTCTATTTTTAAATAAACTTTTACTGTCCAAAAAAATGTTTTATGGTTTCAGGTACACGCTTATTAAATTAGAACTGCGGAATTCAACTATACGGTAAACCCCCATTGAATAATTTGATTGACATTCGCGATTTACTGTCACTCAAAAGTGGATGCTATTGTTTATAAACAGGAGTAAACTCCATGGAAACGCATAGTAAAAATCATTAAAAAAGTACCACTTTCCATACGATTTTTCGTTTAAAAAAGTCCGATAATTTCATTACTATGTAAAAATTTTCTTGAGGCGAAAGTAGTTTCAGAAAAAAAGATTTTTAATAGGTACTTTCTTTATAAACATCACTGTTAATTGCAATACTCTTTCATGTACTTGATCAACAGACGACAACGATGCCATCAATTTTTCTGCTGAACACTGCGTTTTCACTTTTTTGGTGGCAAGTGTTCAGGTTAGCCCATTTGATTCTATTTTATCCAGGGCAGTTTTAAATTAGGTACCTACTATAATTTGAAAAATCTCAAAGTCTTTGATGAGCTACTACTGTCTTTTCCTTCAGTTGAAAAATAGGATGATGAGGCCACAGTTATGCTTCATTTCTGATGGATTATGGTGATCTCAATTTTGCTAACGGGCGATCAAAAATGAGTTGCTGTCGAGTCGCCTTTGGAAGTTCAAGTTATGTAAGATTTCCCATCTAAACAAAAACTCCAAAAGTGACTCGACAGCAACTCATTTTTGAATGTTCTGAGGCCTCGTACGTTGTCATTATTTAAAAAGATGTAATGGGAGATCACAGAATCTGCGGCGAATCAAGTCCGTTGCATACCGCGTGTTCTTTTTATTTCAACAAATTTGAAACTTTAAAATTTTAGACACTACAGTGCCATCTGAAATCACAATATAAAGTTCATTATTAATTAAACTCATTACAGTTCTACTGGTACCTATCCATGTCGGTCAAAGTTGAGCTACTACTTAATAGATGGCAGCAGCATGAAATAAATTGAATTTTTCATTCTATCAGATTGATAATGAAAAGATGTTTATTAGCTTTAGAGATATTTCATTATAATCTACACTAATAATGTAATTCTACACATGTATAAGAAAACATTGTTTGTGAATTTCAATATTTATGATCTTGAATCAAAGTTTGAAGCTGAAACTGAAGCAAACTGAAGTTTTATCGAACGAAGTTGAGGTAACGCTTATGTGCTCGATTTTCCGTCGTCTGTCTGTCTGTCTGTTCCATCGAGATCTCGGCCCCTGGGCCACCTGGCGCCTACAGACATCGGGTTTTCGCTACTTAATTGATAGCTGCTATGGTCAATATTTGCCCGTTACTCATCATTTATAGTTGTATTACTCGGCAACACCGACGGGTGTCTTTTGAAACATTTTTTGATTTTTTAAAACAATAAATACTTCCTGTTAAAATTCAAATTAAAAAAAGCAACAGCCCACTCGATTTTTCACAACAGGCAAAATCCCACAAACCATCAGGAGACTTATCAAACGATCCTCGTATAATACTACTAGGTACCTTAGTACCTACTGCAGTAACAATAGCTGGAGTAACCATTGAGGGAGATAAAGGATTTTAAATGTAATATTTAGACAATAGTTTGATAAAATTATTACAACCCAATTGATATGGCGAATCTTAGCACAAACGTTGCTTTTGAAACCAACAATGAATACACTTTCAGCCATGCATATAATTGTTCGATTTTCCTTCTATAAATACCCTCCTCAAAACCAATAGATGTTCTATTTTCTCTTTGTCAGTACTCTCCTCTGACAATTCATTCTCGAGATGTTCGCACTTGAAGTTTTCACCCAAGTTTTACCCATAAACATGCGTCGTACAAACCTGTTTCGACAATCCGTTCTCGACATATTTGCGCTTAAAGTTTTAACTCTACCATTAAATATGTTTTGTCCAGACCTTTCATTTTCTCTTTGTGAGTGCCTCTTGCGATACTCCATTCACGAGATATTTATTTGAACTTTTTGACACCAATAGGTATGCTTTGGCCAGATGTTTCAATAACCCTTTGTGAGTACCCTCCTCCGCAGTTTTCAATTGTTTTACATGGCACCACTAAAGGAATGCGTAGGGCAGACAGACGAACGAAACGCAAAGAAAAACGCATTTTTTTTATTCTTAAAAAATGCACTAAGAATGTTGATGTAGGATTTTCCTAAGTTTGCACGCACGTCGTCGGTATATTACATCTGAATTAGGTATGTTTACATAGTATGTATCTGAAATCGATAGAGAAAAATTAATATGTAGGAAACCATACGAACAATGCTGCATTGTGGTTAGTATACTCTAGACCAACCACAATACAGCATCGATTGTAGTTGCTATGTAAACTGGCTTTATTCTCCATAGTACTCTAATGAAAGGTCGCAATGAAAAGAATTAGTTTTTACCACTCATACTTCTCCTCCTCGGCCTCGTATTATGATCGGTTACAATTTTGTATTTTTCCCGAGAAATTTTGGTGTAGTCGATTTTTGGTAAAAAAAGAAGGTTATACATTGCCTTTTTTCGACCGAAAAAAAAATTGTCTCAGATCGGCCGGAAAAAAAAATTTTCTTATAGAATGGGGCCTGTAGAATCCATAATTTCAAACAGTTCCAAGATTGGGCTACTAGATCAAAAGTTACAGCCCTTTGAAATTTCTTACGAAATTGGTTTCTAGTCTATAACTTTTGATTGAGAAGTCTGATCGAAAAAGTACGAATTGTTTTGGATTCTACGCACCAAAATTAATACGAAAAAGTGTTTTCCAGAGAAATTTTGGTGTAGTCGATTTTTGGTAAAAAAGGAAGGTTATACACTGCCTTTTTTTGAGCCCCGAAACAAAATTGTCTCAGATCGGCCGGAAAAATTTTTTTTATAGAATGTGGCCTGTAGAATCCATAATTTCAAACAGTTTCAAGATGGGGCTACTAGATCAAAAGTTACAGCCCTTTGAAATTTCTTACGAAATTGGTTTCTA